GCTGGGTCATTTGGCCCCAAGGGGGAAAGTCAAACAGGAAGCACAGGTGTGCTGTGTCCACCAGGGTGCTGATCCTGGGGTGTGTGTATGCGTGTGTGTGTGTGGAGTGTGTGTATGTGTGTGTGTGTGTGTGTGTGATTGGCTTCCTTGTGAGGTCACACCCTGTGCATCTGTCCAGTGTTGTGTGTCCCTGAGTCCAGGTCTTGTCCCCTCCCAAGTGTTGCTGCTTAGCAGAGCTCAGGCTTTTGATCAGGGCCAGGTGGGACATGGGCTCTGCTAAAGAGAGCAGTGTGCCCTGAAGCTCATAGAGGGCTGAGCAAGATTTGAATCCTGGGTGTAAGTTTGAGAAAGGAGGCCAAGAAGAATCACAGCCACAGGCAGGCACAGTGGGCCCTGACGGAGGGAGATGGGAGATGGAGGCCAAGGAGAATGCTCAGAGTTAGAGCAGCACACCCAGTGTCTAGTGAGGGCTGAAGATAGTTAGCCTCTCGTTCCAAAGCCCACAGGGGCCTCTCACGCATTTCCACGGAGTGGGGCTTTTTCATCCCCTGTGCCCTGGTCTCTTGTGAGAAGTCAGGAAGGACTGAGAAGACTAGCTGCAGCCCAAAGTGGCCCTGGACCTGGGTGGTAGGGGAGCAGCCTGGACAAGTTGGTTTGCAGCTACAGGGGAGGGAGAGGACTTCAGAGCCACAAGGATGAGGCTCGCTTGCCTTGCAGCTCTGTCCACATAGAGAGAATGGGGGTGGGGGTGGAATGGGGTGGCCTGATTTCTGGGAGAAAGACCAACAGACAGGCCAGCAGGTCAAGGATTAATCTCTGTAGGTTTGCAAGATGCCAACCACTGGTGGCCGCACTGCTCAGGGCTAGCCTTGGGCAGTGTGCTGTGTTGGTGGCTATTGGGGAGATAAAGAAGGGAGAGAAAACTCAATGTCAGACTGGTCCAAAGCCGGTGTGGTTGTCACACCTGTGATCCCAGCACGGGGCTTAGGCAGGTGGGTCTTAAGGCCTAAGCCAGTCTGGGCAACATAGTGACACTGTGTCTCAGAAACCGGAAAACACATGTCATCATAGAACGTGGCTATCATCAGAGACAGGTGGATCCTCGATCATAAACCTCCACTGAGGCTTGTGTCCTGCTGTTAAGTGACCCAGCTGACTTCTCCCACCTCAGGTCAGAAGCTCCAAATGTGGCTCTGTGGGGTGAATGTCCTGAGGGTGGCTCAGTTCCTGATGACCCTGTGTCATGGGGGGTGCTCATGTAAAGGCTTTTGCAGAGCCCAAGGCTCCAGCCTCGGCTTGGGGGACTTTGCTGGTTCAAGTGAGGGAGAGACTGTGGTAACAGGACAGCCCGCTCTGGGTCTGATTGCAAATTCAGGAGATAGCACTGTATGGTAGGGACTTCTCAGGCAGCAGACCTGTCCACTGAAGTCATTTGATGACAGTCATCCTCAGGTGTGTGTGGGGGGCGGGGTGCCCAGCGCTCAAGTAAGGACTCAAGACTGCAGGATCTCCACACCAAGCTACTGGTGATTTCACACAGCATAATGAGTGACAACTGGGCAGACATGACACCTGGACAGACCGGCCACCTGGGCAGACGGGCCACCTGGGCAGATGGGTCACCTGAGCAGATGGGTCACCTGGGCAGATGGGTCTCTGCCAGCGGTTTTGTGTTGAGGGCAGGTGGGCATGGCTTTTCTGGGTAGAAATGGGCTATATAACTTTCTGTGGCTTAATGACTGCCAGCTATGCATGGGCAGAGTGAGGCTCCGGGAAGAGTTGATTCCACGGGAAAACTTAGAAAAGTCACCAGCTACCTTTTTAGGAAGTACCGTTCATTTTCCCACAACCTACTAATGCTCGTGTCTCCAAACAAGACAAATGGCTTTGTGGCCCATATCTTAGGGGTACAGATACTCTGTTCTGGCTTCCGTCTGTGCTGTGTGGCTCCCTCTGGTGACACAGGCTCCAACATGGGTCCTGGCTGAGCTGTGCCTTGGTGTTCTGCCCTCTTGTCTCTTATCAATGGACAGCTAGGTTTCTGCTAGTTTTCATGATATCAAATCAATCAGTCATCAATCAATCAATCAATCAATCAATCAATCAATCAATCAATCAATCAATCAATCAATCAATCAATCAATCAATCAATCAATCAATCAATCAATCAATCAATCAATCAATCAATCAATCAATCAATCAATCAATCAATCAATCAATCAATCAATCAATCAATCAATCAATCAATCAATCAATCAATCAATCAATCAATCAAGCTGTGCTATGGGGCTGGCAGTCTCCTAGCTTCATCAGCTTGTCCCCAGTGCCCAGTGACATGAAGGTCCTTCACACATCTCCAGCGTGGACACAGGCGAAGGCCTGTCCTAGCTTGTGTTGTGGGGTTTGACAGTTTTCCTCATCTCTCTGCTTTCAGCCAACACTCTCTCCAGTGGGGAGTTATGGAGCCTTTAGGGTCAGACCCTGGGCCTGTGGCTCCAAGCCAAGCTCTGCAGCCTGACCTCAGTGCACCAATAAGAAAGGGGAGTCACTCAATGTGGCCACAGTGGTAAGAGGATGAAGATCCAGAGACAACATATAAATCTCCAGGGTTCTGTCCACCAGTAGATCTCCAGGGTTCTTATGCTGAAGTAGATCTCCAGGGTTCTATCCCCCAAGTAGATCTCCAGGGTTCTGACCTCAAGTTGATCTCCAGGGTTCTGACCGCAAGTAGGCCTCCAGGGTTGAGGTTTTAATAGAGAACAAAAGGCTTGCATAGCTCAGCAGTCCAGGTCCCTGTGGTTCTGCCCATCACTGACCCATCAGTCTCAGCTCTGGCCACTCCTGCAAGGTCTCTGTGTAAGCTCTCAGAACTGTGAAGTCCCTTTCTGGGAGACAAGGTTCCCCACCCCTATGCACCCAATCCGCCGGCTGGTGCCAGCCTTTTCCTCCTCCCACAGTGAGATACCCAGGGAAATTCTGATTTCTTTTTGTTTGGTTGGTGTTTGTTTCTTGAAGCAGAGTCTTGTAGCCCCAGCTGGCCTGGAACTTGCTCTGTAGACCAGGCTGGCCTCAAACTCATAGAGATCTGACTGCTTCTGCCTCTTGAGTGCTGGCATTAAAGCAATATGCCACCACATCCGGGTAAATTCTAATTTCTTGTTTTAAAAATACTTTCTTTATTACTTTTATTTTATGTGTGTGAGTGTATTGCCTGCGTGTGTATAAATGCACCTGTGTCATGCAATGCCTGAGGAAATCAGAAGAGCGTTTTGGATCCCCTGGAACTGGAGTTACAGACGGTTGTTAGTCACGGTGTGGGTGCTGGGAATCGAATCCAGGTCCTCTGCAAGAGCAGCCAGTGTGATTAACTGTTGATCCATCTTTCCAACCCCCAAATTTCTAACTTCTTGAGCTCCTTTGTTACTGGGATGGGAACCTGTAGCCTCACCACGGCCGGCCATTGCCTATCCTAAGCACAGAGCAAAGAGCATCAGCAGACCTAGCGGCACAACCCCAAGAAGAGCTGAGACCAGGACTAAGGCAAGGCCAGGTCAGGGCCCCGGGTACCTAGCAGAGCCCCTGCAGACCACTGGGAAGTGACTCTGAGTCCATGACTGGCATAGGCCTGGGTCTGCTGACACAGGAAGGCTACCCCTGCTTGCAGCCTGCCTGCTCAGAGCTGGGCCCTCTCAGCTCTACCCAGCTCAGTCTCCTGGGGTTGTCCCTGCCCTCAGACAAAAAGCACAATGCAGGCCCTGTCTGGGCACACAGTGTCAGGGGAGGAGCCCCTGTTCAGAGGAGAGCTAGAGGGAGGGATTTGGGGGGACTGTACAGGGCACAGGGAGGCATCACAGGAGGTATTAGCCAGACTGTGCCACTATAACAAGACTGGACAAAAGCCACGTGAGGGAGGAAGGATTAACATTTTTTCATGCTTCAGAGGGTTCATCATGGTGGGGAGGATAAAGCCAGGCAGAGCTGCTCATATCATGTTGGCCAGGAAGCAGAGACAGAGCTCCTGCATCAGCCAGCCATCTCCTGTTCCCCTACTTCTATCCTGGCCTCCCGCTAATGCTGCCCACACCGGGCTGATTTCCCCCACAGCGAATCTGATCTCCAAACATCTTCACAGGCAAGGAGGAGCAAGCAGAATGCACGCTTCTTCTCTCTGCTTCTTGGACACTGTGAAGTGAGCTGCTCCTCCTGCCCTCCCCTCCCCACGGGTCGGACTGAGACCCTGGATAAGGAAAATCCTTTCTCCTTGTCATATATCACAGCACTGAGAAAAATAATTTAAGGCAGAGGACAACTGTCAGGTGACCGTGAGTTTATTGGCACTGTGAGCTGGTGATGGAGAGCAAGAGACCAGAGCAGAGGGACAGGGAGGACAGAGAGTGACCCAGGGTGCGGGTGGGGCTCCTGGGAGGCACGGGGAGAGGTCAGGTCACATGGGGACCATCTATGTCAGGTTAGGAGCAGACTGAGGGGCTGAAAGGGGCCAGGGGCAAGGATCTCAGCCCACTGGCTCCAGGGAACAGGCCCATCAGCAGCTGGACTTCTGTCTGGAGGAGAGGCCTCAGCAGGCCTGGCTGGAGCAGGCCGGGCGTCAGAGCAGGGACACGGAGGATACAGTGGTTGTGAGGTGCCCGACATGAGTGCTGGGAACTTGGGGCCTCTGCAAGAGCACCAAGTATCTTATTTGCTGAGCCATCTGTCCAGCCCCCAAAGGCAGGCTTAGGATTCAGGTAGAGATAAGCCAGGGGAAGCCAGGACTGTTGGGGCTGGACTCAGCCTAGGACTTGGAGCCTGGGGACAGGGGTCTCCATTCAGGTAGACTTAGAGAAGGACTCTGGGTCAACCACACTCTGGAATGCTGACCCAATTCATCCTGTGGTCAGGCCAGAGGGTGGGGATGACTGGAGTGGTGAATCAGCCCATGGGGGATAGCACCCCAGCAGGGTACTGGAGATCACCATCTGACTTGTGTTTGAGGAGAGGCCTCAGCAGGCCTGGCTGGAGCAGGCTGGGCGGCAGAGCAGGGACACGGAGGAGGACCCTTGGCAGCAGCTGGGCTGGCAGGAGGAGGCACAGCAGGAGGAGGCGGGCACGCAGCAGGCGGGTCTGCACACGGGGCGGCAGAGCAGGGACACGCTGGAGCAGGGTCTGCAGCAGACGGGCTTGCAGCAGAGGGGCGCACAGCAGGACGACTGGGAGCTTGAGGGCTGGCAGCTAGACTGCTGGCCACAGGAGGATCCAGAGCAGAGGGGCGCACAGCAGACAGGTTCACAGCAGACTGGTGCACAGCAGAGGGGCTTGCAGCAGACAGGCTTGCAGCAGACGGGCTTGAAGCAGAAGGTCACACAGCAGGGGGAGGAGCTGCAGCCCGAGGGCTGGCAGCTGGACTGTTGACAGCAGGAGGAAGACCCACAGCAGATAGGTGTGCAGCAGACGGGCTTGCAGCACAGGGGCCCACAGCAGGACTGTTGGCAGGGGGAGGAGGTGCAACTGGACTGTTGACAGCATGGTGTGCAGGAGCTGGGGCAGGTGGATTGGCAGCATGGGCTGGACACACAGCTCACTGGGGTGCAGAAGAGGGTCAGGCTGGGGGTTGGGGCACAGCAGCTAGGGCCACAACAGGGGGGCTCACAACAGCTCTCCTGACAATTGTCCCCCTGCCAGGATGCCCCAGGACAGATGCTGGGTGAGCACACACGGCTGCCACAGCTCAGGTTGCTAGAACAGACAGATGTGGTGGATGCAGCGATCACACAAGTCCTGGTGCAGCAGGTGTCAGCCATGGTGGAAGGTGCAGCAGATGGGGTGTGTACGTGTGTGTGTGTGTCTGCCTGTGTGAATATGTATGTCTGTAAGGTGCTCTGGTCCTGGCCTTTTATACCCCTCCTGTGTCCTTCCTCATGAGTCCTGCCTCTTTCCTTCCTTGTTCAACTTGGTTCAGACAACCCAGCCAGTTTACGACCAGAGCTTAGGTCATCGCTTGGGTAACCGCAGGGCCAAGGGGCATTGTTGCCCTGAGTGACCACGTGATACCATGTCTGGGTGGAGCTGGGGCCTGGGAACCTGGGCTCCCTCTCTCTATGACTCAGCTGTCTCTGGCATCTTCCTTAAGAGCATTTGCTTCAGAAGTTGTCCCTGCTGCCTGGTGCCTCCCACATGGGAGTGGAAGTAGGGTGTCCTGGATGACTCAGGGGCATTGTTGCCCTGAGTGACCACGTGATACCATGTCTGGGTGGAGCTGGGGCCTGGGAACCTGGGCTCCCTCTCTCTATGACTCAGCTGTCTCTGGCATCTTCCTTAAGAGCATTTGCTTCAGAAGTTGTCCCTGCCGCCTGGTGCCTCCCACATGGGAGTGGAAGTAGGGTGTCCTGGATGACTGTTATCCCTGCTCCATGGACACAGGGTGTCCTGGTGGACTGTTCTCCCCACTCCATGGACACAGGGTGCCCTGGATGGCTGTCATCTCTGCTCCGTGGACATAGGATGTCCTGGTGGACTGTTCTCCCCACTCCATGGACACAGGGTATCCTGGATGACTGTTATCCCTGCTCCATGGACACAGGGTGTCCTGGTGGACTGTTCTCCCCACTCCATGGACACAGGGTGCCCTGGATGGCTGTCATCTCTGCTCCGTGGACATAGGATGTCCTGGTGGACTGTTCTCCCCACTCCATGGACACAGGGTATCCTGGATGACTGTTATCCCTGCTCCATGGACACAGGGTGTCCTGGTGGACTGTTCTCCCCACTCCATGGACACAGGGTGCCCTGGATGGCTGTCATCTCTGCTCCGTGGACATAGGATGTCCTGGTGGACTGTTCTCCCCACTCCATGGACACAGGGTATCCTGGATGACTGTTATCCCTGCTCCATGGACACAGGGTGTCCTGGTGGACTGTTCTCCCCACTCCATGGACACAGGGTGTGTGTTCAAAAGCCAGTCTGTGCAGGAAGTCCCTCAGCTCTGACCATCCCTCAGCCCTGACCATCCCCCATCTCTGAACAGCCCCATCTCTGGCCATCCCTCAGCCCTGACCATCCCTCAGCCCTGACCATCCCCCATCTCTGGCTGTCCCTCAGCCTTCACCGTCCCCCATCTCTGGCCGTCCCTCAGCCCTGACCGTCCTCCATCTCTGGCCGTCCCTCAGCTCTCACCGTTCCCCATCTCTGCCCGTCCCC